GTTCGGTAGTGAAATTCCAAAGTACTGGAGGGGCCCACTGACCTAGATACTTGCCCACACTATCCCACACACCCTGCCACTCATGGCTGTCCAGCCTCAGGGAAAATCTCTCGGTCCTCCTACATTGTCGTTTGACCCCAGACAAGACCCAAACCTGACTCTGCTTAACTCTTGAAATCAGTAGTGGGCAAAACACACTCTGTATGCGTGTTAGCATGGTGATTCCCATCACCATCAGCAAACAAGTCTCAACAGCATTAAAATGCCATTCAAAAAATTCAAAACTCTCAAATGTAAATGGTCTGGGGGGAGGACTGGGAGGGTAAAAGGATGTCTCCTTCACAGGTTGAGCACCTGAGAAGGAGAAAAAAGATGTGTAATTGCTAAGCACCTCCATCATATACCTCCCAAAGTATAAAGGTGGTGACCACACTGGGAACATAAGCCAGATCAGTTTCATGATCAATGATTCTATTGTATTACAAGTCATTACCATAAAGTACAATGGGACAAAAACCTTAGCCCAAGCCCCACACTTGAAAAACACTAATACAGCAAATACCGGATGGACGTAAGATACGATATACTGAAACTGTGAGATCAAGAGGAACAACCTTGAGAGCCAATAAATCAGCATTGTGACGAGTGACTATCAATCCAGTCAGATCTGTTCTTATCTCAACCCCTCGTGCCCCACGTTGGGCGCCAAAAAGAACTGTCGTGGTTTAAACCCAGTCAGGTAACTTGTTCACTCACTCCCAGTGAGTGGTGCCGAGCTGACAACAATCGAGGTCCATGTCCCCCCCCCCCCACCGGGGTTCTCCCCCACTCCCGGAGGAACGGGGGAGGAGGATCGAAAGAGTGCAACTCCCACGGGTTGAGACAAGAACAGTCCAGCAACCAATGTACACAAATCACCACCGCAACTATCAACTACAACAATGATAAGGGAAAATAACAAGGGAAGAGAATACGATACCACCGGCCAATAAGACGAGTTCCACCCGGAAGCCCCGTGTCCTTCCGGGTAACTCCCAGTCACCCCCCACCCCGGCCATGACGTGCTGTGGTATGGAATACCTCCCTGGCTAGCCCGAGTCAGGCGGCCCCATTTCTGCTTCCTCCCGGCTTCCCCTCCTCCCTGTCAGAGCATGAGCCTCACAAAGTCCTTGGTCAGGGTAAACATCACTTAGCAACAACTGAAAACATTGACTTCACCAACACTGTTCTCATGTTGGAAGTCAAAACACAGCACTGCACCAGCTAGCACAAAGGAAAAAAAAACAAACATGACTACTACTGCTGAACCCAGGACACCCTTGTATTATTTTGACCTGCTGTGTGGTTCTAATCATAGAGTCATAGAATGGTTTGGGTTGAAAAGGGACCTTAAAGCTCATCCAGTTCCAACCCTCTGCCATGGGCAGGGACACCTTCCACTAGAGCAAGTTGCTCCAAGCCCCGTCCAACCTGGCCCTTGAACACTGCCAGGGATGGGGCAGCCACAGCTTCTCTGGGCAACCTGTGCCAGTGCCTCACCATCCTCACAGGGAAGAATAACTACTTCCAAATAAACGCATTCTGCTGTTAGAGTGACCTTCGACTTTGTCAAACTGAACAAGCCCAGCTCCGTCCACCCCTTCGTGAAGGGCCATGTGCCATCCCTGTCCATCTTGGCAGCCCTCACAGTCTTCTCCACAGACTTCTTGAACTTGGGAATTGCTAAACTTGAGAGCAGCTGGTATGATTCCACATAGCAAACTGAAAACTTCTGATCATCTTTTTGAAAACCAAAAAGCACCACCAACTCTCCCTCCTCCCCCCCCCCCCCCCCCCCCCCCCCCGCCCAAGAAAAGGCACAGAAAAACAATGTAGGAAATGACAGGGTAGGATATAACATGGAAAAAAGTCACATTGTTATAAGATCGTAGCTGTGGACTTAGGTATGTGTAAACTAGGGATGTTTGAGTTGTCATTGCTGCTTTAATTTTTCCTTCTTGTGTATGCAGTTGGGTACAGTTTCAGTGACGTACTCTGTTGTTCAGCTGGATCTCTGTCTCGTTCACTGAATAGTTTTGGATGCTGAAAAGAGACTGAGAAGGCAATAGGGAGAAACATAGTGGAATGGGTTACAGAATAGTTGTCCTACACACCATCTCTCCTGCCCTGAAAGACTGTTACAAGAGATGGAGGCTGATATCATGGATTTAATGAGTTCAGCAAACTTTATAGGGATGGTCCATGGACTAAGGAATGATCTCTCTCTCTTTGTGTGTGTGTGCATATATATATATATATATGAGACAAAAAGTGATGGTATACTGAAAAATGTGGGATCTGAGCATGATGTGAATGGTATGGAATAGGGTGTGGATATTGTCCTGGGTTCAGCTGTAGCAGTCATTTTTCTCCTTAGTAGCTGGTGCAATGCTGTGTTTTCAACTTTAGTCTGAGAACAGTGCTGATAACACACTGATGTTTTTAGTTGTTGCTAATGCTCACCCCAATCTAGGACTTTTCTGTCTCATGCTCTACCAGTGAGTAGGAGCACAAGAAGCCAGGAGGAAGCAGGAGGGCTTGGTGTTTAATATCTTCATTGATAATCTGGATGAGGGGATTGAGTGTACCCTCACGAAACACCAAGTTGGGTGGGAGTGTTGATCTGCTGGAGGGTAGTAAGGCTCTGCAGAGGGACCTGGAGAGGCTGGATCAATGGGATGTGGCCAATGGAATGAGGTTCAGCAAGGCAAAGTACCAGGTCCTGAATTTGGACCACAACAACCCCATGCTTGGGGGAACAACTACAGGCTTGGGGAAGAGTGACTGGAAAGCTACTCGTGGAATAGGACCTGGGGGTACTGATTGATGTTGCTGAACATGAGCTTGTGCCCAAGCTGCCAAAAAGGCCAACAGCATCTGGCCTGTATCTGCACCAGTGTGGCAGCAGGGCCAGGGCAGTGATTGTACCCCTGTACTGGGCACTGGTGAGGCTGCGCCTCGAATCCTGTGTCCAGTTCTGGGACCCTCATGACAAGAGAGACATTGGGGTGCTGGAGCAGAGCCAGAGAAGGGCAACAGAGCTGGTGCAGGGCCTGGAGCACAAGTGTGATGAGGAACAGCTGAGGGACCTGGGGGGAGTTTAGTCTGGAGAAGGCTCAGGGGGGACTTTATTGCTCTCTACAACTACCTGACAGGAGGTTGTAGTGAGGTGGGGTTGGTCTCTTCTCCCAAGTGACAAAGGACAGGACAAGAGGAAATGGCCTCAAGCTGCACCAGGGGAGATTTCGATGGAGATTAGGAACAATTCCTTCCCTGAAGATGTTGTTTAGGCATTGGAACAGGCTGCCTAGGGCAGTGGTGGAGTCACCATCCCTGGAAGTTCACACACCATGTAGACGAGGCCCTCGGTGACATGGTTTAGTGGTGGCCTTGGTAGTGCTGGGTTGGACTTGATGAACTTAAAGGTCTTTTCCAACCTAGTTGTTTCTATGATCCAGTTCCAACTTCCTGCCATGGGGGGTTGGAACTCCCAACTAGACCAGGTTGCTTGAGTTCATCTTCTCTGGCCATGCCACTGACTGCCTGTGGCCTGGGAGCAGGGCTGAAACTCTTGGAGTATCCTGCCTTTCATTATAAAATCTTCCTGTGGATACAGCAGCTCTCTTGCTGGTGCCTAAGTCTCTTGAAAGAAAAAAAAATGCTTTTGGTAGCAATAGATGGCCCTCAAAAAAATCAGGACATACCTTTTTTATACCTTTTGCACAAGGAAAGGGCATTATATCTGACTGTACATTTGGTGGATTCCCAATTTTAAACTAGCTGGGTTTCTCCTTGCAAAATGAAGAGTGAAAGACAGAGTAGCAGTCTTCCTTTTTTAACTACACATGCTGTTTGCACTCATGTGTTTGGGCATTGCCTTAATTGTTGTATTGGAATCTTCACTTCATTGCATGGATCTGCTCAGGCTTTTTAATGTTGCTTGGGATGTGGCCTCCGTGTACTTGAAAAAATTCAGTATTGGTGGTTTCAGGATGGGCGAGACCCCCACAACAGCCAGTGACTGCAGAAACCTGCTCTAGCCTGGGTCCAATCCTCACTTAGGTTTTCACGCTAGCCATACTGCCTCCTCCACTCTTACAGTGGACTTTGCCACCATTTTCTTCCTAGCTTTGTCCACAGCCCAACCTTCACTTCATGCTAAAGGCAATGTTCTCACTTCAGGATTGATGCAGAGGTCAGTGACCCATCCTCTGAGCATTCAAGTAGTAATGGCTTCATCAGATACAAAGCAGTTGGATTGAGGAGGGTCTTCATGGGATACAGCTACTGCTCTTTTTTTTTTGTAATTTTGGAAGATGACATGAGAAGATGAGGTGAGAGCAGGATGTAGGTCTGGGAGCCCTTGTGTGTCCATGGTGCAACAGCTGGAGCAAGCATGCATGTGTGAGCAAGTGTGTGACCAGTGCGTGACTGCTGGAGAAGATGGAACCAGATGAGGGGGGTGAAAGGACCTGGAAACTGGGGATGTCCGAGTGTGTATGTGTGTCTCTAAGGGCAAGGATGAGACCACATGAGGATCTGGTGACCAGAGGGACCAGGGAAGTCCCAGCCAGCTGCTGGAGAGATGGTTGAGTCTGGGGTTGATGGAGACTGCTTGTGTGTGTGCGCACACATGTGTATAGGTGTCTGTAGGCTTGAGGCACCTGGGAAGACCCCTGAGATCTAGGGTCAGCTGAGTTCCCAAACTCAGCTGCTGGAGGGGTCCACACTCCATGCATGTGTAGAGGCTAACTCAGCCTCTCCCCCAACAGTCTCTTGAATTAGTTTTGTCTCATTCTCCTTGGGCAAGTAGTGTTGGTCACAACTTGGAAGATTTGAGGACGAAAGAGAGAACAGAAGCAGCAGAATGCCCCAAAGTGCCTTTTGGGCATGGTAGGAATTAATTAATCAGCAAAGCTGTGCTGGGATGTTTCATTCTAATCATCTCTTTTGTGTTTCAGCCCTGGCCCAGTGTTTCCAACCTGGCCAAAGATTTCATTGATCATCTACGCGCGGTGGACCCCAGTGACAGGATGACAGCCCTTCAGGCCCTGAAGCACCCATGGGTGGTCAGCATGGCAGCCTCTTCCTCCATGAAGAACCTACACTGTTCCATCTCACAGAACCTTCTCAAGAGGGCATCTTCCTGCTGCCAAAGCACCAAGTCCGCCCAGTCCAACCGCTCCACAAAATCCAACAAATCACGGCAGGTTCGGGAATGGGAGCTACGTGAGCTCAACTTGCGCTACCGTCAACAGTACACTGGCTGAGCACTGGGCTGGGACCTGCCAGGCATCTTCACAGATGTCTTCTCTGCGGTGTAGGTGTGCACACACTCAGTGAGGAACATCCAGGTTTCTCCCTCCCTCTAGGTGTCCCCCATCCATGAGGAGGTGTCCTCAACATGAGGGACCTTGTGGTGGCCATCACACCCTGCGAGCTGTGCCATGGGAGTCTTGTGCCAGAAATGGGGGAGCCCTTGTGGGCTCAGAGCAGAGCTCAGAGCCTTAAGTAATACCCAAATTAAGGAGCCATGTGGGGAAAAGAGCTCTTTCTGTAGCCCAGTGTCCTGGGTTCAGCAGTAGCAGTCATTTTTCTCCTTCTTGGTAGCTGGTGTAGTGCAGTGTTTTGACTTTCAGCTCGGGAACAGAGCTGATAGCAAGGATGTTTTGGTTTGGCCAAGGACTTTGTGAGCCTCATGCTCTGCCAGGGAGGAGGGGAAGCCAGGAGGAAGCAGAGACAGGACACCTGACCCAAACTGACCAAAGAGGTATTCCATACCACAGCACGTCATGCCCAGGGATGTAACTGGGAGTTAGCCGGAAGGGCTGGGAGACTGCAGGGTTGGAGGAGGTATCGGTCGGAGCTTGGTCGGGCTTGGGGGGCGAGTTATCGGTCAGCTGGTGCTGAGGTGTTGTATTCTCTTCCCTTGTTATTTCCTTTATCATTATTATTACTGATGGTTGCAGTAGTGATCTGTGTTATACCTTAGGTACTAAACTGTTCTTATCTCAACCCATGGGAGTTGCATTCTTTTCGATTCTCCTCTCCGTCCCTCCGGGAGTAGGGGGAGGGAAAGAAGGGGGGGGGGTGTGAGTGAACAAATTACCTGTCTGGGTTTAAACCACGACAGTTCTTTTTGGCGCCCAATGTGGGGCGCGAAGGGTTGAGATAACGACAGATCTGTCCGGATTAGTAGTCACTCATCACAATGACGATTTATTGGCTCTCAGAGTTGTTCTTGTTGATCTCACAGCTTCAGAATGTTGTAACTTACATAGAGCCGGTATTTGCTGTGTTAGTGTTTATCAAGTGTGGGGCCTGGGCTAAGGTTCTTGTCTCACTGTGCTTTATGGCAATGGCTTGTAATACGGGTGGGCTCCAGCAGCAGGGCGGGACGGACGTGGCCGTGGACTTGTACCTGGCCGTCCGGCTGCTCTTCACCGTCCTGGCCCTCGCCCTACTCTCCATCTTCGTGAGGCCGTGGGGAGCCGAGGGGGAGCGGCCCCGGGAGCTGGCGGCAGCCGAAGCGACCCGGGAGAGCGGCCCCGGGGACCAAGCGGCGGCGGGAGCGGGGCCGGAGGCCGTGCGGGGCCGGCTGCCGGTGGAGGAGGTCGGGGGGGTCGAGGAGAGGAAGGAGGTGGCTGCAGAGCAGCGGGAGAAGGCGGCGGAGGAGCCGAGCCCCGCGGAGGAGCCGAGCCCCGAGAAGTAGCCGACCCCTGCGACGGACGAGAGCGTTCCTCGGCAGCCGCCCGCCGAGCCCCAGGAGGATGCAGGAGACCACGCAGCATTTCCCACGCAAGGTGGAGGAGGAAGAGCTGGACTCAGGAAAAGAGAAGCTGGTGGTGGGAGAGCCGGCAAGCACAGCAGCTACACCAGCCCCAGTGACAAGTACAGCAGCTACGCCAGCACAGTGACAAGTACAGCAGCATCAGTTGAGAGTTCTGAAGGTTTTGAATGGCCTTTGGGTATCCTTGGGACCTGCCTGCTGATTGTGATGGGGATCAGCATGTTGGCACACACACAGAGTGTGTTTTACCCACCACCATTTTGTCTGGTCTCAAAAGTTAAGCAGAGTCGGTTTTGGGTCTTGTCTGGGGTTAGACGACGATATAGGGGGACCAAGAGGTTTTCTCCAAGGCTGTACAGTCATGAGTGGCAGGGCATGTGGGACAGTATGGGCAAGTATCTAGTCCACTGGGCCCCTCCAGTGCTTTGGAAGCATCGGAGATGGAAGGCAGCTGTATGGAGTCCCAGCAGCAAGCTGCAGAAACTGCTGAAGGGGACAGTGAATTATTTTAAGCCTGGTGGGCCCATGGCACTTCAGGCCATCAGAGCAGAGATGCAACACAGAGATGGACTCATGATCGAGGGGTGGACTTAGCAATGGACACTATTGCCCAGGTTATTCATGAATGTGAACACTGCACATAGTCTCTCCTGCTCTGGAAGACTGTTACAAGAGATGGAGCCTGACATCATGGACTAGATGGACTCAGCAGCTTTATAGGGACTGGTCCATGCACTAAGATAAGAGTGCACTGAGATAAGAGTGATGGTATATTGAAAATGTGGGATCTGAGCATGACGTGAATGGTATGGAATAAGGGGTGGATAATGTCCTGGGTTCAGCAGTAGCAGTCATTTTTCTCCTTCTTGGTAGCTGGTGTAGTGCAGTGTTTTGACTTTCAGCTCGGGAACAGAGCTGATAACAAGGATGTTTTGGTTTGGCCAAGGACTTTGTGAGCCTCATGCTCTGCCAGGGGGGAGGGGAAGCCAGGAGGAAGCAGAGACAGGACACCTGACCCAAACTGACCAAAGAGGTATTCCATACCACAGCACGTCATGCCCAAGGATGTAACTGGGAGTTAGCCGGAGGGCTGGGAGACTGCAGGGTTGGAGGAGGTATCGGTCGGAGCTTGGTCGGGCTTGGGGGGCGAGTTATTGGTCAGCTGGTGCTGAGGTGTTGTATTCTCTTCCCTTGTTATTTCCTTTATCATTATTATTACTGATGGTAGCAGTAGTGATCTGTGTTATACCTTAGGTACTAAACTGTTCTTATCTCAACCCGTGGGAGTTGCATTCTTTTCGATTCTCCTCTCCGTCCCTCTGGGAGTAGGGGGAGGGAAAGAAGGGGGGGGGGGGGTGAGTGAACAAATTACCTGTCTGGGTTTAAACCACGACACCCAGGAGCTTGGTTGTTCATAGTTATTTATTAATTCCAGAGCAGTTTCTTTCACTTGCATGTGAAAAAAGAAGGAATCCCTTTTAAGTGGATGCACACACACATATGTGTGTGCAGAGACACGTGTGGGTGTGTATCTGGGTTTGAAAATGATACATAAACAGAGTTGGAGCAGGTTTAGTCAAATCTGTGGTGCCTTGCAGTGAGGCTGGTATGAATTACAGTATCAGAAGTAGTATAGCTCTGACTCACTGGTGTGCTGCTCACCAGCTCCTTGATGAAGCAATGACAGACACCAGTTTTCCAGGATGGCTGGGAAGCTGTGAGGTTTCCCCAAAGGCTGCAATCTGCCTCACCGCATCGAGGGATTACTGGAGCTGTACCAGAGCTGCTGCTCAATTTAGGAAACAGGCTGAAGTGCTGTGAGCTCAGAGCTGGAGTCTGGTTCCTTTGATCTGGACTGGGTGGGTGCTTCTGGTGAAAGGGTGGGAAGATGATCATTGTCCTGCAGGAACTTCATGGTATGCAAAGAGATGTCTTTGTCAGTGCAGTTTTTTGGGGGTGTCCTCAGTTCATCAGTATCAGTCATTTTTCTCCTTCTTAGTAGCTGGTGCAGTGTTGTGTTTTTGACTTCAGTCTCAGAACAGTGCTGTTAACACACAGATGTTTTAGTTGTTGCTAAGTAATGTTTACTCTGACCAAGGACTTCCTGAGTTTCATACTCTGCCAGGGAGGAGGGGAAGCCAGGAGGAAGCAGAGACAGAACACCTGACCCAAACCAGCCCAAGGGGTATTCCAGAAAGTTTCCCCCATGCGTACAGAATTGTGGTGGTGGTCTCTGAGGGTCGTTTACTTCTTCCAACAATCTTCATCACTTCTGGCAGCCTTTGAAGCACACGCAGTAGATGGTTATGCCAGCTTAATTGGTTCGTTAACACCACAGACATAATAATCCTCTTGTTCTTCTACTTATCAGTTAGTTTAACTGCAGCCCATCCTGGACCCCTGCCATTCCCAGATACTCCCTATCCTTGTGTCCTGTTCTTCTAGCCTGTTTTTCTTACATTCATTTTTTACTAAGGTCATAGGGCCTAAAACTACGTCAACTATAACGGTTTATCTTATACGAGAATTCTCTGTATGTTCTTTAGCTGTACTCTACTTTTTTTTTCTTCTGTGTATCATGCACCTCAGTAATTTTCCATTGCTACTGTTACAAAGCCATCAAACTTAACATTACTTAAAACTGGCTCTAAAGGTTTATATATTCCATTTTGTAATTTTTTGCCTCCCCTTGTCTCAGCCCTCAGCAAGTTTGCTGATGACACCAAGCTCTGTGGTTCGGTTGTTGCATTGGAGGGAAGGGATGCCATCCAGAAGTACCTCGACATGCTTGTGAGGTGGGCTGGTCTGATGCCAGCCTTATGAAGTTTAACCATGCCAAGTGCAAGGTCCTACACCTGAGTAAGAGCAATCACAGGCACAGCTACAGGTTGGGCAGAGAAGAGATTCAGAGCAGCCCTATGGGGAAGGACTTGGGGGCATTGGTTGCTGAGAAAGTAAACATGAGCTGGCTTCAGTGTGTGCTCACAGCCCAGAAATCAACTGTATCCTGGGCTTCATCAAAAGGAGCGTGACTAGCAGGTCGAAGGAGGTGATCCTGCCCCTCTGCTCTGCTCTTGTGAGACCTCACATGGAGTACTGTGTACAGTTCTGGTGTCCTCAACATAACATGTTGTTGTTTAAGCCCAGCCGATAACTCAGAACCACGTAGCCGATCACTCACTCCCCCCTTCTTGCCTCCCCCCACTCCTGGTGGGATGGGGAGGAGAATTAAAAGAATGTAACTCCCATGGGTAGAGATAAGAACAGTCCAGTAACTAAGGTACAATACATAACTACTACTGCTACCACCAATAATAATAATGACAAGGGAAATAACAAGGCAAGAGATTATAAAACTAAAAGAGGAAAAGGAAAAGAATCCAATAATCACAAGTGATGCACAATACAATTGCTCACCACCACCTGACCGATACCCAGCCTCACCCGTGCAGTATTTCGGGCCTTCCAGATAGCTCCCCCCAGTTTCTATACTAGGCATGACGTGCTGTAGTATGGAATACCCCTTTGGCTAGTTTGGGTCAGGTGTCCTGTCTCTGTTTCCTCTCGGCTTCCCATGCCCCTCCTCCCTGGCAGAGCATGAGTCTGAAAAGTCCTTGATCGGAGTAAACATTACTTAGCAACAACTGAAAACATCAGCGTTATCAGCGTTGTTCCCAGACTAAAGTCAAAACCACAGTACTGCACCAGCTACTAAGAAGGAGAAAAATGACTGCTACTTCTGAACCCAGGAAAATCCTCTCTTCTATTCTCTCTCCCAGCTCCTCTGTCTCCTCAAGTGAGTTGTCAACTCTGAGAGTTCAAAGACAATCTTAGCCCTTCCATCATTTCAGATTTTGGTGATCAGCTTTCCACATGGACTAGAATAGCTGATTTTACTCCAACTCCTACGATAAGGACTTCCTGAGCAACCCATTCCAGTGCTTCACCAACCTTACAATTGATTCAGAGAAAAACTCCAGGAACAAACTTGCCAACAAAGTTTTCAAGCTGACAAGCAGGTATTCTTCATTGTGGCGCTGGGAGACATGGGGGATAGCTCCTCTTAACGTGCGTCCCAGTACTGCTACACAAGCCGTCCTTATATAGCCACTAGGTATACATACATATTCATGAGGCTACGTATATATTACGTCATTTTCCAGAAAGTACCCCGCATGCGTACAGGAATGTGGTGGTGGTCTCTGAGGGCCGTTTACTTCTTCCAACAATCTTCATCACTTCTGGCAGCCTTTGAAGCATGCGCAGTAGATGTTTATACCAGCTTAATTGGTTTGTTAACACCACAGACACAGCAATCATCCTGTTCTTCTATTTATTAGTTAGTTTAACTGCAGCCCGTCCTGGACACCTGCTATTCCCAGATACTCCTTGTCCTGGCTTCAGCAGTAGCAGGCATTTTTTCTTTCGGCCTGGGAACAGCGCTGATAACACTGATGCTTTTAGTTGTTGCTCAGTAATGTTTACTCTGACGAAGGACATTCTGAGCCTCATTCTCTGACAGGGAGGAGGGAAGCCGGGAGGAAGCAGAGACAGGACACCTGACCCAAACTAGCCAAAGAGGTATTCCATACCACAGCATGTCATGCCCAGGATGTAAACTGGGAGTTACACAGAAGGGCTAGTTCTCTGCTGGGTCAGGCTAGTTATTGGTATCAGTTGGTGGGTGGTATTGTATTCTCTTCCCTTGTTATTTCCCTTATTATTATTATTTTTGGTAGCAGTAATGATTTATGTTATACCTTAGTTACTGGACTGTTCTTATCTCAACCCATGGGAGTTACATTCTTTTGATTCTCCTCCCCATCCCTCTGGGAGTGGGGGGAGGAAAGGGGAGGGGGAGTGAGCTAGGACTGTGTGGCTGATTTTATGATTGAGCTTAAACCACGACACTCCTTATCCCTATGTCCTGTTTTTCTGTCCTGTTTTTCTTACACTCATTTTGTACTAAGGTCATAAGGACCTAAATCCACGTCAACTACAACGGTTTGTCTTACACAAGAATTCTCAGTATGTTCTCTAGCTGTACTATGTGTTGTTTTATTTCTCTGTGAATCATGCACCTCAGTAATTTTCCATTGCTACTGTTACAAAGCCATCAAACTTAACATTACTTAAAACTGATTTAAAAGTTTATATATTTCATTTTGTGATGCTATCTATATTAATAGTGAGATTGCAGTTTGAATGGTGACCTACATCTGTGGCATTTAAACACACAATCTCCTCCTCTGGTTCCTGGTTTAATACATCTTTGTGTGCAGGTATAGTATTTGTTACTTGGATTAGGATTAACTGTCCCCAGTTTTAACCTTTCCCTCGGGCATAGATTGCTAGTGTTCAACCACAAATTTGTCCATGAGATAGTGTTAAGAATTGGAATTCCAATTAATGGAAGGCCCTGATCTTCTCCTGATTTAGGCAACTATGCACACACCCAACAGTCACTACAATTAAAAACCTTAGTAACATTCTGCATTAATTTCAGGTATAAGTTTTGGTCCCAAGCTTGTACGCCAGTTATCATATGAGTCCAAATTATGACCAATGCAATTTCATACCTAAGGGTCCTGAAGGTTCTATCTGCCATGTCTTCTCTGGCTCTGGTGCTTTCTTTATTCTTGAATAATGTATCCAAGAAGGTTGTTCCTTTATCTTCACTGCTGTAAAGGTGGTCAATAAAACCTGGTATGGTCCACTCTACTTCTCCTCTAGGGGATCTCCTGGAAAAGTTCTCAATATAAACCCAGTCTCCAGATCTGAAAGCCTGAATCGGATAATCCAAACCTCTCGCTTTTGTCCCTAATATTATCTTATTTATTTCTTCTAATTGTTTTCCCAGATTGACTAGAAACTGTTGGAGATAGCCTTCTCCCATTTCCTGAAGACTTTCTCCTTTAAACTGGGATTGATATGGTCTTCCATATAGAATTTCAAATGGACTAACCTCTTCTTTCGACCAAGGTTTATTTCGAATTCTCAATAGAGCCAGTGGTAAAGCTTGGTACCAATATAAATTTGTTTCCTGACATATTTTACTAATCTGTTGTTTGATCAGATGGTTCACCTTTTCTACTTGTCCACTGGGCTGAGGCCTGTTTGGAACATGTAGTTGCCAATCAATTTCTAATCTTTTCTTAATTACTTGTGACAATTTTGCACTGAAGTGTGAGCCTCTGAAATTGCCACTAGTACTCCAAAATGAGGTATTATCTCATTTAATAATGTTTTAATTACTTATCTTGCATTATTTATCCTACAAGGGAATGCTTCTGGCAAGCCTGAAAAAGTATGTGTTAACACCAACAAATATCGATAACCTCCTTTTCTTGGTAATTCAGAAAAATCTATTTGCCACTGCTGTCCCAGATAACTTCCTCTCCAAATTCTCCCAATTCGATTTCTATTTTCAGTTTTAGGATTATTCTTAAGATAGAGCTGATATTGTTTTTTCACTAATTGAACTAGAGTTTAGAATAACACTGATGTTTTTAGTTACTGCTCAGTAATGTTTACTCTGACCAAGGACTTTGAGTCTCATGCTCTGCCAGGGAGGAGGGGAAGCTGGGAGGAAGCAGAGACAGGACACCTGACTCAAACTAGCCAACGAGGTATTCCATACCACAGCACATCTTGCCCGGGATGTAAACTGGGAGTTACCCGGAAGGGCTAGATAACTGCTGGGTTGGGCTGGGTATTATCGGTCGGCAGGTGGTGAGCGGTTGTATTCTCTTCCCTTGTTATTTCCCTTATCATTATTATTACTGGTGGTAGCAGTAGTGATTTGTGTTATACCTTAGTTACTGGAGTGTTCTTATCTCAACCCATGGGAGTTACATTCTTTTGATTCTCCTCCCCATCCCTCTGGGAGCGGGAGGAGGGAAGAAGGGGTAGAGTGAGTAAGGACTGTGTGGCTGATTTACAGCTGAGCTTAAACCACAACAGTTCTTTTTGGTGCCCAACTTGGGGCTCAAAGGGTTGAGATAATGACAGATCTGACCGGAGTGTGTCGAATCATATTTGTGATACGCATTCATTGATTCGGATTAATAGTCACTCGTCACAATGCTGATTTATGGGCTCTCAAAGTTGTTGCTCTTGATCTCACAGTTTCAGCATGTCATACCTTACATACAGATGGTATCTGCTGTGTTAGTGTTTATCAGATGGGGGGCTTGGCCTAAGGTTCTTGCTTCATTGTACTTCATGGTAATGACTTGTAATACGGGCGGGCTCCAGCAGCAGGGTGGGATGGATGTGGCCATGGAATCGTACCTGGCCATCACGCTGCTCTTCACTGTCCTGGCCCTCGTCCTCGCCTCTGTCAATGTGAGGCTGAGTGAAGCCAAGGCAGAGAGGCCCCAGGAGCTGCTGGCAGCCAAACCAGCCTGGGAGAGTGGCCCCTGGGACCAGGAGGCAGGGAGGGGGCAGCTTCCCATGGAGGAGGTCAGGGCGGTTGAGGAGGGGAAGGAGGCGGCTGCCAAGCAGCAGGAGTAGGCGGCAGACGAACCGAGCCATGCGGCGGTCGAGAGCATCTCCCAGTAGCTGCACGCTGAGCCCTGCAAGCCCGAGCCCCAGGAGGATGTGGAGAGCAAGATACCACCTTGGGGAGCCTCAGCTGGGTCCAGCCTCAGGCACCTGGGACAAGTGGAGGACGCAGGAGACCACACAGCATTTCCCAGCAAGGCAGAGGAGGAAGAGCTGGACTCAGAAAAAGAGAAGCTGGTGGTGAGAGAGCCAGAAAGCACAGCAGCTACACCAGCCCCAGTGACAAGTACAGCAGCATCATTTGAGAGTTCTGAAGGTTTTGAACAGCCTTTGTGTACCCTTGGGACCTACCTGCTGATTATGATGGGTATCAGCATGTTGGCACACATACAGAGTGTGTTTTACCCACGACCATTTTGTCTGATCTCGAAATTTAAGCAGAGTTGGGTTTGGGTCTTGTCTAAGGTTAGACAATGATATAGGAGGACCAAGAGATTTTCCCCAAGGCTGGATAGTCATGAGTGGCAGGGTGTGTGGGACAGTATGCACGAGTATCTAGTCCACTGGGCCGCTCCAGTGCTTTGGAAGCGCCGGAGATGGAAGGCAGCTGTATGGAATCCCCAGCGACAAGTTGCAAAAACTGCTGAAAGGGAGGGTGAATTATTTTAAGCCTGGTGGGCCCATGACACTTCAGATCATCAGGGCAGAGATGCAACCTACAGATGCACTCATGATCGAGGGGTGGACTTAGCAATGGACACTATTGCTGAGCTTATTTACGAGTGTGAGCACTGCACACCGCCCCTCCTGCTCTGAAAGACTGCTACAAGAGATGGAAAGCCACATCATGGACTAGATGAACTCAGCAGCTTTATAGGGATTGGTCCATACACTAAGGAATCATCTCTCTCTCTCTCTCTCTGTGTGGGTGTATATATATATGTATATATATTAGATAAGAGTGATGGTATATTGAAAACTTGGAATCTGAGCATGACGTGAATGGTATGGAATAAGGGATGGATACTGTCCTGGGTTCAGCAGTAGCAGTCATTTTTTCTCCCTCCTAGCTGGTGCAGCGCTGTGGTTTTGACTTTCAGCCTGGGAACAGCGCTGATAACACTGATGCGTTTAGTTACTACTCAAATGTTTAGTCTGACCAAGGGCTTTCTGAGTCTCATGCTCTGCCAGGGAGAAGAGGAAGCTGGGAGGAAGCAGAGACAGGACACCTGACTCAAACTAGCCAAAGGGGTATTCCATACCACAGCATGTCATGCCTGGGATGTAAACTGGGAGTTACCCAGAAGGGTTAGATCACTGCTGGGTCGGGCTGGGTATCAGTGGGCGAGTGGTGAGCGGTTGTATTCTCTTCCCTTGTTATTTCCCTTATTATTATTATTATTATTGCTGGTAGCAGTAGTGGTTTGTGTTATACCTTAGTTACTGGACTGTTCTTGTATCAACCTGTGGGAGTTACATTCTTTCCCTTCTACCCAACGCTCTGGGAGTGGGGGGAGGGAAGAAGGGGGGGAGTAAGTGAGAGACTGTGTGTCTGATTTACGGCTGAGCTTAAACCACAACACCAGTGGATCTGCTAGTGTAGATTCCCCAGGTCTCTGTCAGTCTAGCTCCAATTCATTCACCGAAGCCACCCCATGGCGCTCCCCCTCAGGGCAGTCTCACTTCCAAAGTCCAAACTCCCCATAGCATGAACACCAAACCAGTTCCACAGAAAGAAGAGCCCCCTTCCCCAACTCCGCCCGACATCCCTCCTCCACCTCTGCCTCCCCAGCACTCATCCCACGCTCGAACACAGGAGCTACCCGAGCTCCCCTCCTTTCCCCCTTAGTTTTCTGCTGCAGAATATATATGGACTCAGTCAGAGATCAATACAATAAGACAAAAAGCCCTTAATTACAAAGCCTTAACCCCTTAAATACTATTTCTTACATGCACTTACAGTGATTTGGCATATTATGATTGGATACTTGTCCTGAAGACCCTTTGCAACTAGCATATAATTGGTTAAGCACAGGTGTGGGAACTTGACCTCAAAAGCTTGCCAACAGTCCACAGTTCTCATTAACTTGGTGAAATCCAGCTGCTTCTTATCTTGCTTGTTTAGGCTTCCTCGGGCCTCTCATGGCCCTGATGTATCTTTCAAGAATTTCAGAGTTTATGTACCAATTATCTATTCTCCTGTGAGAACACTGCCTCCACATCTCCCCCTTTTTGTTTTATATATGGTTTGGATGACTCTACTTGAACAGGGGATTTGGCCTAGATCATACTTCCAATATATGCCGACTACAGGCTGCTGGGCCTGCCCCTTTTTTCTGCTGTATGGATCTCTGTTAACAGGGGAGGCCATCCTTCACATCAAGGTCTGGCATGGCATGTGTCCCCACCACTCCACGCCTGCTGGGTTGCAGCCAACAGCAGAGCTAAAGGCTCTTCTTGGTGGCAAACACAGAGGCCAACCCAGTCTTG